GCTCTTCCGATCTGTCCTTGTCACTGAAACCCTAAAGCCTAAACCGTTAAACCCTAAACCCTAAACCCTAAACCCTAAACCCTAAACCCTATAAACCTTAAACCCTAAACCCTAAACCCTAAACCCCTAAACGCAAGATCCGACAACGCACTGACCTCCGACCCGTGAGTTTCTGGAAAGTAATGGACCCTTTCATGCTGCAACTTTACACTAGGGCTCTAAAGACTCACATCGTAAGGCTTTTGGACCCAAAGACCCGACTATGTACAGCTTTTGGGCTGTTTGGAACCTTTTGGGTTACATTTTACAGGAGCTGGCGCGGAATGAGAACTTCCGAACCTGCAAGGAACCCGTGCGCACCTCAATCTCCCTGGCATTGCAAGGGCTCGATGCACAGAAAAATCTCACCCGAAACGCCTTGTTTTTGGGGTCTGAATAACCCTGGGGCTCCAAAAAGCCCAAAGTAGGTACTATTTAATTACAGACTTGACCCCAAAGTAGGTACTATTTGTACACTTGGAGCCCTGGGGTAATTCACAAAAGTGATCACCCAAGCCGAATTTTCGCAGAGACCCCACAAAGAATCCGAATTCGCAAAGCAACTACCCATGTTGCCAATACGGTCGAGTCTTGCCTGCATTTTGAACCTGGGCTCCTCCATGAGATTCGTCAGAAACAGGGTATACGTTCGAACCACTGGTTTGCACCGAACACAGATCCGAAGCTTCCTAAACCGAATCCTTGCGACTCTGAAAACCCAGGCCCCAAGCTTGAGCATGTTAACTCCGAGCCCGGCTTGAAGCATCACGTGCCATAGTAAGCATATAAAGTTATGGGTACCTTACTTGGGGTTATGAGGCGTAAAGTACAGTATCCTTACTTACATCTCGAGTTAAACCACCATCCTTTCAGTGCCCTGCTCCACACCAGCAGTCGGATCCTACTGGTTCGTGCGATCCTACCCTAAACCCATAGAAAGAGCCCTCGTTAAAACAAAAGCCACTGTTTCCTAATCAGGTTCATATGTTTTGGAGTAAAAACATATCCCTAAACCTTAAACCTTAAACCCTAAACTGTGGCGCCAAAGCTTGTGTCCATTGCGGTTGCTGTGGTTGCGGTTGTCTTGTTCTGCCGTCGGAGGGCTGAGGTGGGGCTCCTCACCATTCAGCGGGTTTCGAGTTTAGGGTGTATTATTCAGTTTTATGTTCGGGCCCCTGTTTTCTGAAACTCCCAGATTGCTCTGTGTCCGGGTCCCGCGACAGGTATTTCGGACAAGAGATGTTGTGTCGCACCTTTTGAGTCGTAGTCTACTGAAGCTCCTTACACCGTAAATCCGTCCCGAGGTGCCGATTGATGAGGTGCGCTACTCCTTACAGAGAGTACAGCCGGCTTGTTTTGATGAAGTCCAGCAGTAATGATGAGTTTATGGAAGCCTTATTGCAGGTTCAAGGAAGTGTATGATTCCTTAGAGGAGCAATCCTTGTATTCAGAAGTTCGTGAGGTCTATGTGCGCAGTGCATGCATGTAAGCCTTTGTACACATCGCCGTATCGCAGCTCCTCTTGTGGTCCGGTCTGTATTCCAGAACATGTGAGCACGCTCCACCCCGATCCCCAGTGCCTCAACATGCCTAAAGTAGTAACATGATTATGCAGGTCATCATGCGATTCCTTACTAGCGAAACGCTATGACTAGACTGGTCACAACAATATGAATGAGAATGCTCATCACAATGAGCTCCCAAATCCTGACAATTGGCAGATTTCCTTCGATGCTCCATTCGACTTCTCAGGCTGGAGGTGGTCTAACATAGGGGCGCAAATCATAGCCTATACTATTTTGGGGGCTCCTTATTATACTTATACTATAATGGGCGCCCAAAGCCTTACTTATGAAGGCCCCTATGTTATGCTTTGGGGTATTAGAGCTTTCAGAGCTGGTGCTTCAGATTCAGGAACTTCTTGTCTCAGGTCTCAGATGGTGTGTAGATTCAACCCAACCCCTAAACCCCTAAACCACTAAACCCCTAAACCCTAAACTTCAAACTTCTTCACTATTGACGGGATTTGCACAGTCGCTGGACATGCCGAGCTTCTTGTCTTCCATCTCACAGTTCGATGTTGCGAGCCTTTGCTTTTAGGGTTTAGGATTACGCAAGGTTTAGAGTTGAGGTTTTTCGGGTTTAGGGAGAAAGACTTGAACGGTTTAGAGTTATGAGGGCCCATGAACCCTGAAGCTACAAGCCCCGATGCCCCAAACTCAGCCTAGCCCTATAGGGCTCAAAATCGGCAACGAAAGGTCCGACAGAATGGCTCATCCTGGTGCAGGACTTCCCTAGCACTGGAAACAGGGCCCGGGATTGATAGCATCAAACTTGTATAGCATGGCCGCTTAAGCCCGAAAGCCTTCAAACATCAGATCCTGCATCCCTAAACCCTAAACCCTAAGCCCCTAAACCATACCCTAAACCCTAAACCCTAAGCGCCTAAACCACAAACCCCAAACAACAAATCCTTAAACCCTAAGCCCCGAACCCTACACCCCGACCCCTGAAGCATCGGGCCCGCAAGGCGAACAACGCCGAGGTGTCGTCTTCCGCGAGCCCTTTCTTCCCACGGTGGGCTGGCAGAGTGCAGTAGGGTCGAATTAGGGTTTATTGGGTTTAGGGTTTATATAGGGTTTCAGGTTTAGGGTTTATCGTGTTTAGGGTTTATATAGGGTTTAGGGTTTCATTGGCTTGAGGTGGTTTAGTGCTCTGTGTACAGCACCGGTTTGCAATGTGGAACCCCGTATGGCACTGCTTCTGGGATCAGCGGATTTAGTCGTAAGCGGGTTTTACTTGGGTCCACAAGCATCCCAATTGCAGTCAGCTCGCCTTCAGCCATAACCGATTGCTGAATCCCTTGTTCCTATAAGCCTATAAGTAGAGTCCGTGACTCCAATCAACCTGAAGCCGTGTTTGCCAAAGCCAGTGTAACCCTCGCCGTGTGCAGAGCCGCATCACGGTGGAAGATGCGCACTTCGATGATGAGACGCGGCTGAGCAACAATTGCTTCGTGCAGTTCCAGAAGGCGCGGATTTAAGACTCTAAACCCTTCAACCCTAGACCCATCTAAACCCTAAACATCCCTAAATCCTAAAAGCCTTAATTAAGCTCTACACTCTTTGTGGCTTTAGAAGTCTTTAACAGTCTGAAACTCTAAATCAACCCCCACGAAAAGCCTATGCCCCTGAACCCTAAACCCTTGAAGCCCAAACCCGAAATAAGCCCGACATTTGTTTCAGAATCCCGAAAGACCCTAAACCCTAAACCCTAAACCCAAACCCGAAATAAGCCCGAAATCTGTTTCAGAATCCCGAAAGACCCTGAACCTAAACCCTAAACCCAAGCCCGAAATAAGCTCCTTTCTGTTACCGAATCCCGAAGCAGCTCCTTTGATGGAGGGCAACCCTCGGCGCCGCCGGCCAGTGCGGCGTGTGCGACGTGGAGAGGCCAGGGTTTTGGGGTGGAGAATCTACCCATAGGCCCTAAAGTAGTTCCTTTTTGGGGTTCATATATTGAATCCTGTAAGGTAACCCCAAAAAGGAACTACTATGGGGCCTATGGGTACTTAAAGGCTCATGGAACCCAGAAACCAAGGCCATAAATAAGGTAACTATACCTATAATTGCTTATAACCCCAATTATGGTACTTATAACTGTACTTCTTAAGTCCCATGAACCTCCAAGTAAGTTCTCGTTCGGGAATGCAATATAAGTTACCATAGTAAGGAAACCAGGCAACCAATGTTATTTACCATAGATCCCGATTACTGTATATCACTCGAGGTCGTTGCTCATGGGGTTTGGTTTAGGGTTTAATTGGGGTTTTGGGGGGTGGATGTTTGGGGACGGTTGATGCAAAAGTCTCAGTGTTGCTTCATGGATTTGTTACTTGTTCAGCGTTGTTCTTTGTGTGCGTGTGTGCGGGCTCTCAGGCTATAAGTGTTAAAACGCGTTGTTTTGATTTTTGTCGGGGTGGATATGGGTGCAATGTCTGATCTTTCGGAATACTTCGTTTCGATCGTATGGGCTTAGTGGATCTGAATTTTGAACCCTGAAGTCTAGATGAGACCCGAGAATCCCTCCGGCTGAAAGCATGGCTTTTGGTCCCCCGAAGCCGCTTGAACCCTCCACCCCAGCCTCGACCATCAGGGTCTCTGAGAAAGAAAGACACAGAGAGAGAGAGAGAGAGATATATATATATATATAGAGAGAGAGAGAGAAAGACAGAACCAGAGAGAGATAGAGAGCGAGAGAGAGAGAGAGAGGCGGATACATGTTGTGGGGTTCAGGTCGTCGAGTTGTAGGTTCAAGTTTGGGAAATTCTGCGGCCAATTAAGCTTAGTTTGAACTGGTTGCCAAAAGATCAAGGGTTCCAGTTTTGACCCTAGCCTGAAACTCTGGCATACAAGCAGCCTCCAATGCAGTTTCTTGTTGTTAGTTGTCCTGGGTCCTAGGTGTTTGGAGTATCCTTATCGCAGCCGTCTACTTGGTTAGCGGAGACGGGAGTTACATCCGTAGACTATAGGCAGGCTTTGAGACTAGGGTGACTGTAAAGCGTTTTTCTTGTACCCTTTCAGTACCCTTGTGTGAACCCTAATGATACCTTCAAGGAAACCTCTCTAGCACAGTTATAGTCCCCTTTGCTTTTGGCGAGGTGGCTGGTCTAGATCTGAAGACCGGCAAGGCTTGCTCGATATGCTTTTCCGCCGCCCGCCCTGGACTGAATAGGGGGTTGTGGTTGCCTGTTTTGCTCTTTAGCATGCAGGAGTCATCTAGGGTCCTTTGTGCTCTGGAAATCGTCTTGCCCCAACCCGCTCCCCGCTCCCCCTTCCCTCAAACCCTTCTCCCAACCATGCCGTAAAAACACTGCAGGGCGCATACTTCCCTTGACTGGGAGTACCGTATGGGCGAAAGCCACAATGCAGGAGGTATGAAAGGAATCTCTAGAGGCCCGCCGTGGCACAGAGGGTGCTTGGGACCGGGGTCGCCGGACCCTAAACGCAAAACCCCAAAACCCGAATCCTAAACCCTAAACCCTAACGGGCTTCGAAACTGGCTTGCAGGCTTTGTTGAGGCACTAGGGGCTCCTGCATCAAGCTGTAGGTTTCTTGAGGGTTCTGCAGGGTTCCTTTTTCCGTGCCTTTAAGGGTGCCTCCCGGTTGCACTGTCCCCTCAGCCCTGTTTCGCGACACTTGCTCACTTTTAGCGATACTCGGTTTGCCATAATAATCTCTTCGGTCTACTTCTAACTTCTGGGAGACTACCACATCCCTGAGTGATCTTGTATTCCTTCCTCGAAGTGTAGTATGCCTCAGGAGAAGGCAGGCTGCGGCTTGAACGTGATAGAGTCGGATAGAGTGGTTGGAGCCTTTCCACCTCTTCGCAGCTGCATAACCCTAAGGGTCCATGTACCCAAATAGTAGAAACTTTGGCCCTAAAGTAGTCCCCATATAGGTACTTTGGGGCCAATGTATATACTATGTGAGTACATGGACCCTTAAGGTAACCCAGCGAAGCTGGGCGATGCGTCAAACCCGACAGCTCTCCTTAGCCCTCAACTCCGCAGCTCTCCTGTCTCCTATGCTCCAAAAAGCTCCCATAAAAAAGACCGAGACCCTAATACGGTTGTCCTTGTTGGGTTCAGGGTTCAGGGTTTAGGGCAGTTCTGCGGTTTCATCAGCCAAGGACGATGGCTTTCTGATCGGCTGTGGTGCAGAACACTTGGTTTGCAACAGCCGATGCCTCGGAGAGACAGAGCAGTCCCACACATTGGGAAGAGGGTTCGACGCGTCCCTGTCAAGCTGTTACTCGTAGGATGTAGAAGCCTGAACCCTTAACCCTAAACCCAAAACCCCTACTATAGAACCCGAAACCCTAAACAGGGTTAGATGTGAGAGGACACCGAGCTTGGGCTAGAAACAAAGCTCTTGTCCGAGAGCGGCTTCCTAAGTTTGGTTTTTGGTTTAGGGCTTAGGGTGTTGCTTAAAGCAGTTCTGGACGTGATGTACCGGTTGGCAGCCATCCATACGCCTGTCGGAAAATGTGTCGTTGGCTTCCACAGGCTTAGCACCTTTAACTTGCTAAGTCCTCGGGCTCCACTACCGGCAGTTAGGTTACGAATCATATATTAACTCTCTAACCCCTAGGGAAAGTTCAGTTGACCTATGGCTCACTGAAGTAACTTCGAGTTCCCATGTTGTCCAAGACCAGGTCCTTCGATCAAGCTCACGCTGCAGAAACTTGAACCCTGAGACTCTAAGGAGTCATAGTTTGCGGCGGTTTAGGGTTTAGGGTTTTTCTATGCACGAACCATAGTACATACGGGTTTGGGGCTGCCCGTGCTGCAGTCGCATCGCATGTGGGGCAGAAGTTTTCAGACGATGACACCCCAAAAATCCTAAACCCTAGACCCTAAACCCTAAACCCTGCTGGGTCCCAAGCTACTAAAGCGACTTCATGCTTCCACTGAAGCCCCAGGAAATCACACGATGCTTGAACCCTTTGGGTAAACCGGGGCCCACTAAATTTCAAATCCTAACATAACCTACCTTTTTTGTAGGTTCATATTATGAACCCTAACATCGAACTTATAATTATAGGGACCCTACAAAAAAGTAGGTTTCGGTAGCTCGGGTTTAAACCTAGGCAAAGTTCTCCATGCGGAGAATCTCAGGTTGCCGCTGGCGCGCTCTGCGCGCCGTGGTCGGCGATGTGACCCAGACCGAGGTCGAGGGGTCTTGCGCCACTGCTTAGGGTTTATAGGGCTTATAGGGTTCAGAGTTTTTGGTTCTGGGTTTAGGCTTGAGGCTGCTGGGTTCGGGGTTTAGCGTTCAGGAAAATGGCGAGGACTACGTTTGCCTTGAGGCCTTGAGGAGGCTCTTTGTTGATGCCTCGGCGTGCGCCTTGACTGTCTCGTTGACCCTTACCCTCAAAGGACTCATATTTTAAGGCTTCTGGGCCCAAAGACCCTATTATATAAGGCTTTTGGGCTATTTTGATGCTAAGGGTGATGGTCCCAGTAATGCAGCAGCAGCTCAGGAAAAGTACAAACTTCACAGGAACCGAAACTTAGAGTGTTTCGAACGCTTCTGAAAAGCCTGCAATATTCCATCGCCGGTTTGCTACGGGAGCCATATACAGTAGCAGCTATATTATCATTGCATGAAAAACTACGAATCTTATTTTTTAGGGTTCCATAATATAGTTATGCTATAACATACCCCCAAACTTAAGACCGTATTCTCGTTTTTGAGTCCCTTATCTGAGCACAGGGCCAAATGCTTCATTTTCGTTCGTGCCGGGTCTGGGGTCGGACAAGATTCCAAGAAATCAAGGAAGTAAACACGGGTCACGGGAGCACCTAGTTTGCGGGTAGCCCCTTTCCTATACCGAGCCCTCTAGAGCCTGTGTAAAGCACTATGTAGCGCATTGGCCCGAATGTAGTGCAGGCTAAGAGCTTGGAAGCTAAAGCTTGGGGGGAGCATTTCAGAGAACCCGCCTGCTGCGCGACATGTGTGCAGAAGCTGGTCTGCGGTTGCCTGACGTTGGATGACACCACAGCACCTTGGAAGAGGAGCTGGGGGATTTCGGGAGTTCCCTAAACCCCAAACCCCCAACCCCTCAACCCTAAACCCTGAATGCTCTTCCGCACACCTGGAAGGCTAGACTTTCATGAGAAAGCAAAGACAGGTAATGTTATGGAAGGTTGAAGACCCTGAGACGTAGCTTTCGGGTCCAACTTCAGCTCTTCCTGCTTGTCAACATTCCCCCCCCCCCCCCCCTTTAGGGTCCCCAGCAAGCCCTTTGGCTTTCGAGAGTTTAGGGTTTAGCGTTCAAGTGTTTTTAGGTGTAGGGGTTTAGCATCGGACGCCGGGATTGTATTTAGGCTTGTTCCGCTTTAAAGTTTACATTTCAGGAGATTGAGGTCTGTTGGAATCCAATGTGGCTCACATAACGACGAGCTCCACATCCCTTGCGTGCACGAGAACATCGACTCTTTTCTGGAATGATGAACTTGCTTCACGGTAGATTGTACTTCGTGTTGTGAGATACCCAACAGCATCGTGGCAGGACGAACAAACTTGAAACACCGTCGTTGGTCGTAGAGCAGCAAGGCCGGAAAGCTAAGGAAGCTCTCGATTGAGAGGTCCATCATCCGTCAGGACCCAGCATGCGTGTACGGGCTTACATCACCTGAACCTACATTCTTCTAAAGGGTCCTGGTATTAGGGATGCGGCACTCAAAACCCACAGTATAGAAACACCGAAAAATCGACTACGTCCACCCGGTAGGTGTTGGCAAACCCTAAACCGAAGCGTTCCGAGGCATTTTCCGGTCTGGCCGAAGCAGCGGACAAGCCTTTCTGAAGCAATGCAGGAAGTTAGCGTTGAGGGGTTTAGAGTTTAGCGTTCAGGGTTGAGCTTCACTTTTCAGCTTGGGGGTCTCCCTTTTCAAAGTGACATTAAGAGAGGTGAACAAACATATCAAGGATCCCGATGAAGGACCAAGGAACAGTCCTCATATACGGGCGGGCTTCATCTCTCCTTTAGTTGCGAGTGGAATGTTCCCTGTCTGAGTTTGAGGAATGCCGGTCGTAGGTATAGGCGTCCCAGCGATACAGTGGGTCGAACCCTAACATGACACCCAAAGGGTCCAAGTACCATTATAGTAGGTACTTAGTAGGTATTTGGGCCCCAAAAGTAAAGACTATACTAGTACTTGGACCCTTTGGGACAATTATTGCAGCAATGGCGCTCAGCCGCTGTTCAGAGCCAGTCGATCTAATTTCAACTCTTGCCTGTAAAAAGTTACGCTCGAGATGCATCCTAAACACCTAAACCGCTGAACCCTAAACTCCTAAAGCCTAAACCACTGAACCCCTGAACCTTAAGCCCCTAAACCCCAGATCCTAAACCCCTAAACATGTATTGAGCCTCCGAGCATGGTCCAGGTCCATGCAGGTCTCCCGCCGGCATGTTTCAGCATTGTGTCGCAAGCAGCGTGGTACCCTTCGAGAATATATATGGGTTTAGGGGGTTAGGGTTTAGAGCTTAAAGTATTGCACCTAGCTGCTGGCTTATCCAGGAATCAGCTTGATTGTCTCCCAGGTATATGTACTTCTCAGATGGGCATATGTATCAACCTGTCATGTGTCTGTGTGTTTGTGTGCGGGCGGGCGGGCGTGAATGCCCATTGTTGCTTCTGGCAGCGGCAATCGTCATCATCGTCATGACCATCACTACTGTCATGTTGTTGTTGTTGTTGATGATGATTATGCACCAATTCCACTACCCCCCAGCAACAACAGCATCTTCATCATCATGCGCCTCAACACCATCGCCAGAAGCATCACCGCCGAAACCATCATCATCGCCAGTGCCGTCATCATTATCATCGCCGTCGCTATCGTGCCGCTGTTTCATCGTTGTCTTGCAGCTGTTATTGGTTGTTGTTAGTTGGCCGCGTATGTTGAAGAGCAGGTGAGGGTTCAAGCGTTTTGAGTCCAAGCTCCGCTGTCGTTTCTGTAGAGCCCTGGCCAATGAACCCTGTCTTCCTGGAAGACCGTAACGTGAGGATCAAGGCTGCCTGAAACCATGTCGTTGATGTAGCGGAACAGAAGAGGTAGCTGCATGTCTACTGTATTGCTGGTTGAAGAGAGCACGGCTGACCAAGTCTAAACAAAAAGCAGACCCCAGAAATAGACCCGAAAAACCGGACCCTAAAGCCTAAACCCTAAACCCACAAACCTGACTGCCAGGCTTTGGTGGCAGCTCCCCCGAAAGATCCGGCCGAGCTGCAGGCGAGAACCAGGTTGACTGCTTTAGGGCTCAGCGGCACCAGCACCCTACTTAGGGTTTAGGGTTTAGGGTTTAGGGACCCCGTACTCCAAACTCATTGTATAGGCCGTTCTAAGTTTAAAAGGTAGGCATGTCTCAGGTTTTTGTTACGAGTTCATCAGATATTTCCTTAAGAGAGTTGGCTTTCGTGCTTCAGGTTTGGCTTCAGGCTCAAAAAACTTGGAAGTTTTGGAAACATGGTATGCAAACACAGAACGCTCCCTAAATGATGCCGATGAAAGAATAAAAGTCATGTAGAGGAAGCAGGACCAAAGGACAAGGTACGACAATTCGATTAATTCAGGTGGAAGCATTTGCGGTTTAGGCGTCTCGTTTTTGGAGGGTCTGCTTGAAGGTTCATGGTCAGGAACCCGAAGAGCACACTCGCCGTAACGTGTTTAAGCGTATCCTCTCACAGGCACAGTTCCTGCATGTTTTTGCATCTCCGAAGCAAAGGTACATCTAAGCCTTTCCTACTTAAATCCACGAACACCCTAAGTTCAATTTCTGGGATGGATTCCGACACAGATTTTCAGGACCAAGTATAACTTCAATGGGTTCATATGAAATAGGTGTTGTACAAGGGTTGTTGTGGGTGTTTATGTTGGGTATGATTATGGAGATATTAGCAACAAATACCCTACACCCTACCCTAAGGCTCAAACCTTAGCCCCAAAGCCCAAACCTTCCCCTAGAAAGCACAAAAGAGCAATTAGAGCCTTAGGGTAGGCGATAAACCCTACAGCTACAGGCACTCTCCCAAACTCCGGATTGCTCACCTACAGTTATCGCTACCCCTTGCACATGAGAAATCGCGTTGCAAATGTGTGCGATAGGGTTTAATCGCTAGCAGCGCCGGTTCTATAGGAGTCTATCTTGCAGATACTGACGACCTGATTTCTGCATATTTGTGATCAGCCATGAGAGTGCGGTGTAATGAGGGTAGTAGACCCTGAGGAATGTCATCTCCGAGTATATGCGTTGCCCGTCAGGAGTTTGAGATGGAGTTGGCCCAGGTGCTTCGTCTTCCATCTTCGGTTTAGGATTAAAGGCCTGTTTGCCCCCGTTCTGCAGATGCTTCAATGCGCATCATCTCCTGTTTCATTCAAAGCGTCCGATGCACATGGGAGCCAGTGCACCAAGAAGTTGCTCCAATGCAAATTGCAAGCTGCAGCTCCAATGGAAATGCAACATCTGCAGGCCTGCTGTTAGGGCACCCTGAACATCAAACCTTCAGTACGGTCCCGCTTCACTATCTGCGATTGACATTTCGGGTTCATTAAACCCCTGTGGTACTGCTCCAGATACGGACTCTGGTGCTTGTGCGTGCAGGGTGAACCGAGCTTAGGCTTTAATGAGACCTACATACCTAAGCCAAGAGTTGTAGTACTTTCTTGTTGGATAGCCTATTTTATGCCCAGGTTCCTAAGGCAACCAAAGCACGATACCACAGTTTGGGGTTTAGTGAGTCTAGTTACACCTTGTGCACCAAGGCTCTACTCTGTCATTTTGGCACAGGTCAACAGAGATCATAGAAGTCACAAAGGTCTCGAAGCTCTTCACACGTGCATCCCCAATCAAGACAAATAGAGCCCGACAGCATCAGAGCCCCCTGAGACGTATGTCTCGGACTTGGAGTGCACCTTCTGTTGACAGCCCTTAAAACCCTCATGCATGCATGCATGCATGCATGCATGCATGCATGCATGCATGCATGCATGCACATGCGTGCATGCATGCATGGATATCAACATACATATATGCTACATGTATCTCGCGCCATGCACCCACGACCTTAGCAGCCCTAAGCGCACCCGATCTTAGTGCCTTGAAGCCCTGAGCCTGACAGCCCTCCTTCACATCAACAAGGAGCTCCATCCTCTGGCAACTGCATTACACATTTCTAAAGAACAAAGATCCCTCAAACTCAAAGATCCCTAAACCCCCTAAACCCAAAACCCTTAAGTCCTAAACCCTAAACCCTAAACCGTACTAAAACCCAAAGATCCCCTACCCTTATGCCCTGAGCTTCCACGATCCTCTCCGGACCTTCGAAGGTGCGGCGGCAGTTCCAAGTGCGCGAGGTTCCCGTCGATATCTTCCGGAGAAAGGCCTTGGCCTCGGGTGCTTCGTTTAGGGGTTTAGGGTTTAGGGAGTATATCGTTCCCGAGGGATCCAAGTATACAAATAGTATACCTGCTTTGACCTACTTTGGGGTCTAAAGTCTGCAAATGGTACTTACTTTGGGGTCTAAAGTCTGCAAATGGTACTTACTTTGGGGTCTAAAGTCTGCAAATAGTACCTAGTTTGGGCTATTTGGAGCCCCAGAGTGAGGCTTGGGGTGTTGACCTGGCACTGACATCCTCAACCTCTCTAAGCCGTAAAACCGAAAGCTTTGCCATTGCAAATAGCCTACCTTTTTAAAGATTTATATAAAGAAATCACAGTAAGGAAACCTAAAGAGGTAGGTTCTTTAGGGTCCAGGTGGGGCTTGAAGCTGTCGCAAAGGTTTTTGACATCTGCATGGCTCTCAGCACGCAGTGCTTGCTGCAAATCCACCAGGGAAGTGGGGTTTGAGACGGGTTTCATAGGGTTTTCCAGGAATTTATCGCGCGTAGAGGTTTCCCAAGTGTGTGTAAGTTAGTTGGTTGGTAAATTCTGCAAGTTTGTTGGATTTGCCAGGGAAGTTTGGGCAGATTCGAGAACATAAAGGCTGCTCGGGGCATGCAACGTTTCCAAACCATAGTAGGGCCAACGCCGCAAAGATGCGGACCTCTACTGGACAAGCTTCGGTCGTTCTATGTGTCCGTATCTTTCACGGTCTTTCAAAAGTTTGCTGTATTCCTGGTCAATATGCAGCTCGATATCTTCTGGGTCATAGGGCGTGTCTTTAGGGTTAAGGTCTTGTAGTTCTGCCTCAGGGCTGGCGGCTATGCCCGACACACTTCAGCTGGCGGGGTTTCAGACGCAGCTTTGCTCTGCTCGCATTGGGATAAGTTCGCTGCGTTCGCACGGAAAGCACGGAAACATTCACACCCTGCTGCATTTCTAGTTCTGTATACACCACTCGTGGCCACCAAGCCCACACAATATCGAGGTCTGAACCAATAGGCATTTTGTGACAGCCCTTTGCAGTCCCTATACCCTTATAAGCCCTAAACCCTAAACAGCTAGTCTAACTACTGCGGCTCCTATGTTGGACAGAGTCCTAGACCTGGGCTCTGAATGACATGTTCAACTCGCATAGGCTCCAGTCATGGCCGTTGTAACTCACTTGAGCCGCTCTTCCATCATGATGTCATACTGAGTCATGCTTTCCTATGCACGAAATATACAGACTACGACTTATAGCCCTTTGTCTCCCTCGACCATCTGAGTCCGAAGCGCCATGGGTGCATGACCTTGCTGTGGAAAGCTGGCTGGATTTTGAGCTTGTCTCTCCGGGCCAGCGCTGCTACCATGTCCTGCAAGCTTGCAGTCGTTGCCCGCAAAGATCTGGGTGCCTCGTCTTTCTAGGCTCAAGTCACACGTCTTCCCGAAACCGCGTTGCTTGGGCCGGAATAATGACTTTACAATAATAGTAGCACGTACCCCACCTATCTAGAATCTAGATAGTACGCTAAGGCCAAAGTACAGATTTTTGGATACATGGACTCTCTGGATTGTAGTCCGTGTCTCAGCAGATGAGGCCTGCGGGAAATCCATTTCAGAGCTTTTAACTACTTGTTTTCGACTGGAGCCTAGACCTACGTGCTTCATAAACCGCTTCAATGAAAGGATCGGCGGAACTTGAAACCCCCGACAAGGTATGCCACGAATTTGTTCGGAAATACTTCAACGTTTGAAGTACTGTATGCATTTTGGACTCCTATAAGCCCCTATAAACTGACAGAGACTACAGCCCTGACCCCTAAATCCTCAACCCAAGATCTTGAAGCCTAAACCGTACTCCTCTAGAGGACCCTCATAGAGCCTTTAATGACTTTATTAAACCCTAAACCCTGAACCCGAACCACTGCACAACCCTTCAAGGAACACCATATGAGACCCTGAAGCCTAAGCCCTCAACCTCGAGCTGAGGAGGATCCCATCAAGGGGCCCTAGTCCAAGCATCAAGACCCCGAAAATTGAGCCCTAAACCCTAAACCCTGAAATCCTAAACCCTAAACCCTAAAACTAATTAAGCCTTAACCAAAACCCTAAACCCTTTAACCCTCAACCCTAGAATAATTAAGCCAAATAACTAATAACCCAAACCCTAAACCCTGAGCCCTCCTCGAGCTGAGGCATGTCTGCAGATAGAACCCGTACAGGGCCCTATTCTAACTGTTCTATGGTTATAAGCCCTCCGACCCAAAGCTCAGCATCATAAGGACCCCTGTAAAGGAGCCCTATTCTATGGTTATAAGCCCTCCGACCCAAAGCGAATCAAGCCCTAAACCCTAAACACTGAAATCCTAAACCCTAAACCCTAAAATTCTCCGACCTAAAGCTGAGGATTATAAGGACCCCTTTAAAGGAGCCCTATTCTATGGTCCTAAGCCCTCCGACCTAAAGCTGAGGCATGTCTGCAGGGAAGCTGGCTGCGCAGGTGGGGCACGCAGTGCACGACACCGTGACCGAGCCTGGGCTTTCTCTGAGCTTGCTGAGTCTAGGAGACCCTACACCCATAACCGTTGGGGTTTTAGGAGACCTTAAACCCATAACCGTTCAGGGTTTAGGGTTTAGGGTCTAGGGTTTAGGGGTTATAATCTCTGAGCTTGCTGAGTTTAGGTGCCCAAACCCCCAAAAGGATCTAAAAAATAGATCCCCTAAGGGGGTTCCTATAAAGTACCCTTTAGTAGTTAGGGTCCCTAGTTTGGGGATCGATTTTTTAGATCCTTTTGGGGATCTGGGTGGCCCTAAACCCATAACTGTTGGGGTTTAGGGTTTAGGGCCGAGGGTCTAGGGTTTAGGGGTTTAGGGTCTTTCAGGGTTCCTTTATGGCTTTTAGTAAAGGGCTCATTTTTAAGGGTTCCTTCAAGGCTTTGAGGGCTGAGGGTGTAGGATCTAGACCTAGGGTCTGGGACTTGGGGCAAAGACTATTCGGGCCAAGCTTCGGGTCTACCTGAACCCCAAATGAACCTACCCTTATTCAAGGGGTTTATATGAGAGAATCATCATGGGGAACCCTGCAAACGAAGGCTTTCTAGGGCCAGGGCCCACGTGGGATTTAGGTAAAGGGTTGAGGCTATCGACTATATGGGGTTCAGGGACTGGTTGGGTGTTCAAGCTTTGTGGCTTGGAGTTGAATTCACTGTGATCACACTTTGGGGGTTGAGGGCTGCCAATCTCGAATTTGCCTGCTTAGCATAGGTCGCCCGGTAGCACCCCTATCCCTTTGAACTATTCTGGGGCCTATCAATGCTTGAGAGTAGAAAAAGAAAAAGAGTACCCTCGTTCTTGTAGGGTGACTGGTGGACTTGGTTGCTATGTGTGTCCTTGGGTCCGCACAACAAGGATCCACGTTTACTGTTTAGCATACTGTTTCGTAAAGACTGACGAGCCCGTTCAGTGTATACATCCTCGTATGTTGAAGCCCCTCATTGTCTCAAGCTCCATTTGCTGTGGCCAGACTGGTAGTCTCTCTGTTTTCCTTAGGTCCCCAATACCCAGCCTTTAAACTTTTCGGGTTCTTATAATTTAGTAGTAATCTGAAAGTTTAACCTTTTATTTCCCTGGCTTATTGGGGTAGTAAGTTTCTTGCAGAGCCCAGGAATGCGATCCGAAGAAATTGGACGCATGGGAGGAGGACTTTGCTGGGTTCGCGGGTGCTGGGCATGCTTGGTTCTTTATGTTCATGACAGGGTGAAAGGAGTGTAGTCTCGTATGTGCTTGTAAGGGTGTGAGCTGGTGGCTTTGCAGTTTGCAATCCCTTTCGCCTTCTGCTGAAAGTGCGAATCCCGACAGCAGAAACGATCACACTTAGCGAGCCTGCGTTGCGTCCATGACTATTTGGTTTCCGGACGCATGACCATCGGCAACCGAACCGTAAAGCTCAACACTGTCTGGTGCTTAGTAGGGAATGGGGGAATGGATCCCTATGATAGTCCCTTAAGGTCCCTTATTGTAGTCCCTGTAACCCATTCCCCCATTCCCCACAAAGCACCAGACAGAAAAGGGCTCATATGCCCCGAGAAGAGTTTAGGCCTGGTTCACAGGACGGCTCCATGATTGTGGTTTTGGAAGCAAACTCTGAGGAGGAGCTCAAAGGCCTACTATCGGGGCCTAAATAACTATCAATACTATTTCGGGGGGCTCCTTCTTATAGCTATATAGTATAAAGAAAAACCCCAAAATCTGGTTCTAATTGTTAAGGCCCCTATATAACCAGTTATTGACTCTCAGGTCATAGCTTGGTGGTCTGATGTTCAGCCAAGATGTCTTGATCGTAGGATCATGCTGCATCCCGAAAGTCCGGTACTAGCTCCGACGGTTTAGGTAGGGCTGAAGGTGTTGCTGTAGGGTTCCAGCTGCAATCTGAATGCGGGGATCCAGTACGAATCTGAAGGTGCTGCTGCAAGCTTCCAGCTGCAATTTGCATGAACGGACCCAGTCCGAAACTTCACAAGTCCACAAAGTGCGCAACGAACCCTCGAACCCCGAACGTCCGACCCTAAGTCCCTCAAACGTACATCTTGAGTTTAAGTCATCTGCTTCTTCATTCAGGGCAGGAGCTCCAGGAACCCCAAACCAAGAACAACGAGGCCAACGACAGTTAACTTAACTCCATCCCCCGAAGAGTGCCAAACCCTAAGCCTTAAGCCCTAGACCCCTAAACCGTCATCCCCTAAACCGCAAACCCGAAGGCCACGAAGCACGTGAGCCTCAAGCCTATAGACTCCATGCCCTTGTACTCCTTATACATATATATATATATATATATATATACACAGATATATACATATGTATATATATATATATATATGCACTCTATTATACCTATATATATATATATATAAATATATATACATATGTACAATTCTTTATGATATATTGTATACCGCATACCCGAAACCCTTTTCTGCTTGTTCAGACCTCTGTACTAAGTATACCCAAGGAGCCCCGAACCACAGGAGCCTCAAACCTGCAGCCACATCGCAAGATGCTGTGGAAGGGCCCAAAAGCTTGAAAGGGCCCTTAGACTTTAGGGGTATTCGAGTTTATAGAGTTCAGGGTTTTTATGGCTTAGGGTTTTTTGACAGCAGACGTAACAAAACAATGGCAGACACAACCCTGAACCCTAAACCCTAAACCCTAAACCGGACACTACACCAAGAATGTTGAGCCCCCAAAGAGTCTCAGAGGCCTGGAGGCTATGGCGAAGCGGCAAAGCTTGCAGGTCGCGCCTATAACGGACGAGGGTCTGACGGAGGCCGGCCGGGAACTTGTGGCTAAGGGTTTAGGTTCTAGGGTTTTTAGGGTTGGGGTTCAGGGTTCAGGGTTGAGGGATTAGGATTTGTTTAGGGTATACTGATTAGAATAGTGTCTCATGGTGGCTTTCTGGAGAGTTCATTACTTTTTTTTGTTTCCGGGTTTAGGCCTCTGCATTACGCGCTTTCCGTGGTGGCTGGGCCTTGTCTTTGGGATTTGATGGATGGGAGTTGATGGGAGTGTTTGGACTGTAAGGTTCGTTAAGGTTTTCCCTGTGGATCCAAAAGCCTACCTTTCGGACCTCAGTTCCCAAAGTAGATACTCTCCGTATACTTGGAGTCTTATGGTATGTTAAACCCTAAACCCGAAAATCCCGAAAACCCCAAACCCCAAACCCTAAACCCTAAACCCTAAACCCCAAAATCCCGAAAATCCGGAAAACCCGAAACCCCGAAACCCCAA